AAAATAAAGATATGCAATTTTCACCACCACTGATAGCCCAAAATATTGCTTATAATTTGCACCAATCATCTATCATCTATGTAGGTATTCGATTATCAAGTCGGTATTCGATTATTTTGTCGGTACCGCCTCTTGCGGAATAAAATGACAATAATAGTTTTTCAACATTTCTATATTAGGTATAATCTATAGTACCTACCATCTGCTTTATCTGTGGTATAATTATTACAATTTACAAAGCTTAACCCCCGGATTCATCGTAATCGTGTTATTACATTTATTAATTAAGTATTTGAACATTATGCACTTATAAATGTTTTTCATATAAATATGTTATATTATTATTGTTATCAGTTATTATAGGTATCTTCAAAATCAATACAGACGTATCGTAGAACGATAAGAACAGGATTGAGGTTAGTGAAATAAGAAACTAAAATGGAATATTCTGTATTATTATAGCTTCTATTACATCTCAATATCTTATATTCAAATATCGAAATATGTACCTACCCTACGTTCTATCGAAAAATCGTTTTGAATTTTGGTGCAAATTACAATTCATACTTTTTATCCGGTATATTTGAGATGGTGAAAATTGCAAATCTTTATTTTCGGGGAAAATCATTAACACATTTAATGTGTATGTATTTTGGGTCAATTTTGGTGAAAATTACATTAATTAAAACTAAGATTTTAGAACTGCCAAATATTTATCATGTACTTACCTTTCAGGCCAGTCATATAAGTATCCGTAGAATCGATTATTTTGATTTCGGGTTTTAAATAGACGTTCGCAAATTTTGGGTCAATGTTCACTTTTTGGATAGACAGTTCGAACGTCTGTTGTTCAATGCTGTTTTCTTCGTCGAAGAATCCCACTGTGTATAATATTGATAGAAATTAATTTACTATGGTTTTTCAAACAAAATATACGCCAGTATTATGGTACACATATTATATTAATTATTTGCTAAATACCTACCGATGGAAAGTGGTATGTTGTCGTTTTCTTGTGCCGCGACATGGCATAAGCAAATTACCACAACAAAAGCGTACGAAACAAACATGTTCTATACGGTCGGAACAAAAAATATGTACTTACTCGAAACCAATATCGCTCGGGTTCGTCTGGTATAGTGGTATCTAGTATTTAAATTTAGAAATATTCGCCTGGCCTTTGGCCAATCTCCTTTAGCGTGGACGAAGTGTCATAAACTCATAACGTTATAAACAAAAAACGAGACTTATTCATGGAAGAATTCAATTCCACTCGTTCAGGCCTACCGCAGGTATGTATTATTATATGTTGCTAAAGAAAATGAAAATAAAAATGAACTAAATATTATTTTACATACCTACCTACCTACCTACCTTAATCTTGGGGTGGTTTCAATATCAAAATTGTTTTAAAAAACACAACCAACTGTAGAAGTATCTACCTATGACTAAGCTTTCTTATGAACCTGGATTAAAATAATTAGGCATTTTTTTGGATCATTGTACAACATTAGGCATAAAGGTAATGTATGCAAATATGTATAGCACCAAATTTAAAAAGGTGGGCAAGTGGGAATAGGTACCTAAGACCTAACTGTCGTATATACCTATCTCTCGGTGGTACACAAAATAGTAGATGACAAATGACAATAATTCGCACTATTGTATAACTTTATTAAATATAAACATTAAACAAACACACAAAGTACGAGTCTCTACGAATCGCTTACAAACATAATATACGGGCGTCGCTCGAGGACCCGCACTGCAGTCCTTCTACTTCGGTGCTTACTTCCTTAGATATTATTTTACAAAGTTCTGCCTCGGCTCATTTGCTTCGTTGGCCCAATTATAACGAATATTATATACTGTCTAAAATGTTTGTTATTTGATTAGTTAGCTCTAATGGAGCATACAACATATAACACTTTGATGCACAGTAAGCGTGTACAGCAGGGGTTTTCAACCCGAGGCCCTTGGTAGATTTTGATGAGGCCCTCACTTCAATTTAAAAACCATTAATTAATTGTATACAATAAATTAATATTACGAAATTTAAAAAGGTGGGCAAGTGGGAATAGGTACCTAAGACCTAACTGTCGTATATACTTACCTGTCTCTCGATGGTACACAAAATAATAGATGACAAATGACAATAATTCGCACTATTGTATAACTTTATTAAATATAAACATTAAACAAACACACAAAGTACGAGTCTCTACGAATCGCTTACAAACATAATATATACGGGCGTCGCTCTAGGACCCGCACTGCAGCCCTTCTACCTCGGTGTTTACTTCCTTAAATATTATTTTACAAAGTCCTGGCTCGGCGGACACATAGGTACTAGTTACGGACGAATTATTCAGGTTAGGAATTATAATATAACAATCGCGGACACGAGTTTCGTTGTCATAATACTAATTGCGTACAGAGCTTTTTTAAATAAAAACTACGTTAGTTGTGGACACAAATATTTCCCTTCACCACTTTTTCGGGACTTATGACAATAGCTAAAAAAAAAAAATTGGTAGGTGGGGTTAAAAATATTTGTGTCTTGCAAAAGAGCAATCGTTATTTTTAAAATGTTGTTGAATTATAGATTGTTTTAATTATGTGGAAAAAATTGTTTATAAAATATTTATAGATTATCGTCATGACGTCATTCATTATTAATTTTCGTCATAGTTTTTAAAACAGCCTGTATATACCTATGATATTCTACTGATTTCACCACCTGAATATTGTAACATTATCCGCAATTAGTATCTTATATTAGTTAGATTTGTGTGTTGTGTCCGCAATTAGTATGTTACCTTTTTAGATTTCGTCTCACATGGTTTTTGTCACTTTGTCCGCAATTCGGAAACACCGGCCTCGGCTCATTTGCTTCGTTGGCCCAATTATTACGAATATTATATACTGTCTATAATGTTTGTTATTTGATTAGTTAGCTCTAATAGCGCATACAACATAACGCTTTGATGCACAGTATGCGTGTACAGCAGTGTCAACCCGAGGCCCGTGGTAGATTTTGATGCGGCCCTCACTTCAATTTAAAAACCATAATTAATTTAAAAAAAAAAATTAATTTTAATAATATAAAACTACAAAATATTAAACATCAAATATTGGCTCCGATACCAATATAATATTCTTATTCAGTATTCTTATTTAATTTAATCATTCAATTTGAATGTATTATTATTAAAAATTTAAAAAGTATGTGGCCCGCAACAATTCCTACCCAATTCAGGGCCGTATTTGGACAATTTCCGCCCCGGGGCAACATATTTCCGCTGCCCCTCACCCCC